AACGAGCGAACGTTATCGAGAGAAGGAACAGCCAACAAGACATTATGGGTAAAGCGTGAATATTCGATGGGTTATTTGTGTTATTACTTTCTATTAGAATATAAGTACAAAAACGTGTAACTACACTAAACGAACTAAAATCATGCGCTAGGAACATAACTATGCTGAATTTGATTTGTTAGTTATCACCTAGGTTTCTCTATTGAATTTTGGCTGATCATTTTATTGATTTAGCTAACTAATAACAGACGTCCAAAACAAAAAGGGTTGCACATGTTCATATGAATATTTATTATAATGCATTACGTGTTATGTAAACAAGTAATGTAATTATGTACATGTATTTATTTAATTACTATCAGATGTAGGTTCTATAACCCAGTAGGTCGAAGCATTTAACACTACACAAATTGGGTCGTGTTACGCGCCGCAGGTGTCACCCCGTACCCTTGGAACGATTAAAGCGGGAGCGTCGTCACTTGCGCACGCGCGAGAATTGAGTCCTAAGCGACGATAACAACACGGGCTAAAAAGGCAAAGGCTCATGGGTAGACGCTTGTTTGTAAACATCGACACGCTAAGACCATCTGACGCCTGCACAGGTGACGACGACCCCCCCCCCCCGCTTTAATGATTCACATACTAGACTGTGTGACGTCATGCTATTTAATATTTGAGACAGCTTGGTTCAAGGAGTTATTGCTATTTTTGTGGCTGAAATCTGACGACAGATTCACGTACTACAGTCAGCGTACTATAGTTGCACTTAGCGTTTAACATCGAAGTCTGAGAAGTCTGAAGTCAACCTTGGAAGGAAACCTGGTGCTGCGGTTGCGAAGGTGGGATTCGACGCTTTAATTCGCGAACTTCAGTCGCTGGCCACCTAGAAGCCACTTAAACATTTAGAAGTACGGCAGGAAACGTAAGGTACCGAACATTCCCAGACACTAGTTAGTCCTATGCTTTCTTTCAGTTACTAGTATGCTGTTAATTTCTAGAATTGAGTATGGCATGCTGTTTACTTTCGTCGCATGATGTTACCGACTTTTCTGTGGTGTCTGCAGTGCGTAATTTCGTAACCCCCGCCGGTATTCCCGTTGATGCTTGGCGAGGGCTGCGTTTACTGCCGAATCGTTGAAGGGCGGGTGATACTGTCGGGGACGAGATCTATATCATGTATACATTTGTGTACCTAATAACTATGGTTCGACGTACATGTAAAGCCATGTGTGGCGTCATAGTAATACGTATAAGATTAAACGGTGTACATTATTGTTTCTAATTATATATGCATACAATGTCACATTGGTACCCATCAGTCTATTGCGTAATTTTAATTTTGTTAAGAGCCCGCACACGAGAGGGTAAAATTATTTGCTATTATAAAATGATTTGGGTTAATATCTCGTGGCAGTTGCAATCACCTGAACAATCCACGCCAAATTAAATGTCACTCTGATTAAAACATGCATGTGTCTGTCGTACACCGGGTGACGTACAGTGACGTAATGTCGTAACAGGAGACACAACTCTGCCTCTATGACGTCAATAGTATAAACAACTCTAAATGAAGGGGCGCGTTCACTCGTGTATGTTCTATGATCAATTTGACCATACATTGCTATTCGTGTGTTGTTGTTTTTTCAATTTGTCTGTGTTGTTAGACTTGGGTAATGCATAAATACTGGTTTTGTGTATCTGTTAGATATATTGATTAAACCTCACGCCCCTACATGTTATGATGTGCTGATTGTTATCATGTTTATATTCAGATAAGAACACGTTATAATTACAGTCAACGATCACACCCACATCGTGATGGAATCGTCGTCACGTGACTTATGTCAATATCCAGAAGCATACCACGCGGGTTTTCAAACTATGATGACCTATGGTTTAAAATCTAGAGAGAATCGTTACAAGAAAGATGCAATAACAATTGTAGCAAAGCTACGACCAAAATCATCGAACGAAGTCCGGGTTCTTTCTGTTGGGTCCGGCAATGGTATGTTTTTTTGCTTATGTAAATGTGTTCGTGGAATATTTGCGGAGGATCATCATCTGCGCACGCGCGGGAGTTGAGTCCCAAGCTAAACACACAAAGGCTCATGGGTAGACGCTTGTTTGTAAGCAATGACACGCTATGACCATCTGACGCATGCGCAGGTGACGACTCCTCCGCTTTAAAGATCGGTGGTCGTAGTATGCGCAGCACGGCTTCGAATATTAAATATGTAAATAAAAAATACATTTTACACGCGTTGAGTACGTCGCTATGAGTCCCATAGCGAACAGGTCGCGTTTATTCAGTAAACTTATTATTAGTGGTATTGGTGTGTTAGCAAATTATATAAACGTTCTGACAGACGTATTATGTACAACTTTCATTCATGCGTAGTCAAACAATAGTCGTTCATAGGATTCTTAAATTCTGAATACTGTAAAGGGGGAAATTATTCACTGGGTTTTAATTTAGCTTATTTCTCTGACTGGAAAAATGCGCTACAAAGCACAGTAGTGTTTATGTGTTCTGTACTGTATAGTGTAACTAAAATAAAAGATAGCCAGTGCTATCAAAATTAGCAAACATGTACCCAGTGAGACCTTGCACAATTGTGAAGTCAAAGTACACAAAATAAGATCATGAATGTTTTGTATATAACTACAGTGGGGAAATAGCCAGGGCCTTCAAACTTGGCAAACGTGTTCCCAAATTCGATCAGCAACACATGGACACAACAGACAGGGACAATAGTTTGAAGGTCATGGTCATATCATTGATTTATGTTATTTATATCCAGTATTAAGCTACTTGAGACATACGCTCCCTATGTAACTCGCATGACATGGTGGTCAAAGGTCAAAGTATATATGTGTATGTATGTTAACAATATAACTACCAGGGAAAAATCGCTATTGTCTTTAAAACTTGGCACACATGATCCCAATATTTTACAGGACTGTTGCCAAGTATTGATATAAATATTAAAGAAATCTGGAACATGTTGACATCTCTCCTGAGTTGTGAGTGTTATCTAGTTTCCAATTTATTTTAGGGGATGTCGATCTCCACTTCATCAATGCTCTGGTGGGTAAATATACGACGGTACACTACATTGTGGTGGATCCAGCATCTGATCAAATAGATGAATTCAAGACCTTAATTGAAGACCACAAGAGTCAGTGGAAAGGAGTCACATTCAGTTTCCATATACAAGAAATAGATATGTATCTCTTAGAAGGTGGTAAATCCGATAACTACGACCTCATACACGCGTGTCATTCGATTTATTACTGTCGTGATGTGGCAAAAACAGCGCGCAGTTTATATGGTTCGCTGTTCAGTAATGGGTTGCTTCTCATAAGAGTCTCCACAGGTTAGTTCTTGCCATTGATTTTTGGAAACGGCATATGGGATAATTATAGGTGAAAGCTTGAACTTGATCTAGTAATTTGTGTCATATATAATGTCAGACATTTTCAGATTAACAACAAAACTACACAAGCATTCACTCACTCTTAGACTGTCTGTCTCACTGGAGCTTACAAATGAGTTACAACATGTCAAACGTATATAAACTACCACAAATGTTTTCAACAAAATGTATTCGATTACCTGAAGCACCACAACGCTGGGTGGAAACAAATCACAACTAGAAGGCACTCCGTGAGCATAATCCTTTACCCTAGTATACGTTCTCTTTGTATGAAAAATCTTATTTATCGTATTTACAAAACCATTTATTGTTTAAGAGAAAGACAAAATTAAGTTTAGAATGAGTTATTCTAGCAATGAAGAAGAATTTGTCTCAATAGCTACTAGATGCAGATCTCACCTGAAATATACTCATTTGGTTTTGAAAAACGTCTCGTCCTAATCAACTAAAAAGAAAAATTGTAAGCCTTTTTAATTATCTATCAAAGATAGTCATTTAGAATCGTCTTTAGAATGATTTTGTTTCCATGGCAACGAGATCTAAAATACAACTTACCAATTTTAATCTGTTTTCAAGGGAACCCCCTGAAAATGTCATGATAATCTATAATTTTGTTAAGTAAGTACAAATTACATTGAATGATGGAAGTTATTGTTACCATGGCAATCTGATTTGCATCACCAGATAAATCTAAATCATTCCCGTGTCAAAGGCAACCACTGACAAATCATTCTCCTAAATTGGTGTTCCAATTCACATCTTTTTCAAAATCTCTACGATTGGTTCACGCGTTTGAGCACAATATTATAATAATTACAGTTATAAAAGTCATTTCAAAATGTGTGATTCCATTGCAACCACGCCCACTTTCCGCATATTCTCGACCCTACCAAAAGTTACTTGGGCTCGTTCTTTTTTCAAGAGTAATATTTCACGAAAATCTATAAACTTTTGACTTGATACAACTGCTTCCATCCTTTAGTATTGAGGATGTTCGATAAATGTTAAAATCATTATATGCATATTTATTTAAAACAATGACGTAAGCACCCTAATTGATTGGTATTGTAGTATACAATATCCTTCTCCTAAAAAAACAAGTAATTTATCAAATGAAAGGTACCTACAATATGGCAGCCTTCGCAACAAGTTGTCAACACATCGATTAAACCATAAAATTAGCCAAACAGGAATGTTTCAAGCTGTGATCGATGTGAAATGCCTCATTATAAAATTGTAGAAAACAACATATTCGCTCATGTGTGCCATAACTACTACTGACAAACACCAAATTTTCTTTGTCACACAAAAAGGGAAGCATTTCAATTACATGTATTTCAGTTTATATTCTTATTATATTCACAGGTGGCGGATGGAAGAAATATTTTAAACTGGTCGGATATTCATCGACTGGTACAGATATCAAACCTTTGATAGTCCGCCATATTCCTGATTCCACCATTGAAGTAATATGTGACACTGCAGAAGTCATTGTTAATGAGTGTTTTGACGAAAGTTCATTAGATGGCAATAGAATGTGGGATTTTCTAAACCATGTTTTACACTTCAGGCAATCAGGCTCACCAGAACTGATTGCTGAGCGATTGAAATATTTAAAAAATGAATGCTGTTATATAAAGGGCGATGATATATTGCTAGACGTAGTTGAAGAAGACATCATTATTTTTAGCAGATGAAGCGATGAAGAATAGTAAACTGACTGATTATTGTGACCACCAGTAAAAGTGATAAAATCAACAACAAAGGGGTTACTTTACTTTATTTTAAGAGTAACTTCTACATTCAGGATTTCTCATCTAAGCCTTCACGATGCTTACATAGATACGTCATCTAGGTGCTCCAGTCTCTCATTACGCTACGCCGATCATTAGTGTACATTTAAAAGATAAGAATTGATTTGCAACCCTCCAGTCCTGCTAGTGGATGTCGGTGATTCGACGATTTAGTACTTTGAAGCCAAATGATGTAGCAAGTGACCAAACATCACTGGTAAGTTTGTAGGTGCTAACAATCAAAGAAGAAAAAAACAGTGATTTTAATGTGACTGTTCAAATAAAAAACTAAAAGCAGCCGAGATTATGGATATTTATATTTGTTTAAGTGAACTGTGATCCTGGACTGCTACACCATAGAATCGCCGTTGAAAAAAAAAATATACGTGCCGGTCTTTTGTTGGTCTAGTTGGCAAATTATATAGTACTACAACACTGCAAAAAGCGGAACAAATTCAGTTTTCTTTACTCGGGCTCTGTAGACATACTCTTACTTTGTTCAGCACATCTGCTTTGATAACTCAGTCAGGGTCATGCTTAGTACATCAACACGATCATAACAGTGGCGTCAGTCGTGGAACAAGAAACATGTTTACCGGTTTGAACGCTGCAATCGAACGCTCTTTGTCGCGTAAACATGACAGACAACGATGTTCTTTGAAATCTATTGTGGTTGGTTGCCGATAATGTGTCTAAATTATTAAATAGCATAAATTATTCATTTCTACTATATTATGCAAGCTCACTTTTGAAGAAGGTTATAAAGTCAATCAGTCAAAAATTGTTTATTATACTAGGTATTTTAGAATAATTGCAAATTACCTTGCATGATAAATTTGCGTTTGGTAGTAAGTACTACGAATGAAGAATATTTACTGGTTGAATGTTCCAAGGTTAGATAACCTCAGGATAACCTTTGTTTTGTTCTTTGAAGTTGGAAATTTTTGTCATAGGATTCTTCTTCGATCTATCTCAGATTTAGAGTATAATAATAATTATATGTGAATAGCAGTTTGTTAGTACATTATCGTTGCTCAGTGTAAGTGTATGATCGAGTCAATACAATTGTCTTTGCTGTTACCTACATGCATTGTAGCACCACTCTATAGACATACAAACAACAGTTGATGGTTAGAATATATAGTCACATATATCCAATGTTAAAAATCTCAAACACTATATAATGTTTGTATGCATAGACAATTTGTGGACACTATTTATCGCCCTCGAACATGAAGTACTATATATTAATTTGAATTTCAGTGACTCTTTCTTATCATTGATTACGTCATGTGACTTTTTGAGGATATATACATTTACATACAAAATGTTGTATCATACACGAGTTCACGAACCTGGAGACAATAATATTTAATTATGTATTAACTACAATCATCTGACAAATGTATATATCAGATACATGTTACATGTGCATTAAATTATTGTATAAATTAGCATATAAAAATAAAGTGCCTTTTCGTTGATCATAGCACAAATATGCAGTGTTCTACAAAAAACGCGAATTCTGAGATAGACCGCAATTACATGTGCCTGTCGATATTCAGTTTGTAGCCATAGCAACGAAAGCTCAAGAGTATGTACTTCAATATATTACTCTCAAGCACAATTTTCTGACAATGATGTTTGTTTTTGTACTCACGTGATAAATCTGTATGAATGAGAACTTGAGTAAATAACCGGTCTGACCCGAGGGTTTGAACATGTTTGGAATATCTCCTGATATTTAATTAAAAATCAAATACCGACAAGCCGTTGCTATAAATTGCGCCCCCTAGCGACGAAACGCTTTCGTGACGTCAAAATGACGCATTTGGATGAAAATCGACAACTGTGAAAATTGTAAAACAACTCGAAAACATTTTTTTTATTGATGGATGACTGAAGATAAGAACATCAGAGCAGCGCATAATTTCTAGAGGGCGCACTGCTTTTGACAAGTTGTTCTCAACAAGTCTACTTGAAGCATACACATTCCATTTGTATTTGTTTATTTCCGTGTTCAACTTTAAAGCAGATGGAAGAGTGTGATAATATTTTTGAATAACGAATCTTTGTTTATTATCTCATTTTCCATGTACATCGGGTCAGACACATATCGCCTAGTAAAATATTGCGATGGTAATAATCGTTGATCAACACTATACACGCCAAGGTCAGAAATATGTTGGGACGCTACACTGTCCATTTCACCAACTTTGTATGAATGTTCACTAAGAACTCTTTAGAATCACGGTAATTTGCAGAGCTCGGCATTTATATGTTTCCACATCTAAATACCCGTGTGGTAGACTATTTGTTTGATAGTCATGCCGACAATGTTTGGCTTTCGTTTCCTTTGGTTACTTGGCTGGGGTGACTACAGACAAGAACATCATGGTTTAGTCATTTTATGCGAAAAAGTGGAGAATATTGAAATACTAGTAATTGATTTTGCTCAAATGTAAAAAATTTACTTTATTGACATACTTGACTTTGTACAAGCATCGATACAGCGTGTTTTTGTCGCAATACATATGCGCAACAGTTCTAGTGGTTCACAGAAACAGGGGACAGTTAAGCCCAGGATGTTTTAGACAGATTTTTTGAAACGTTTTTGCTAAAATTTGATGTTGCCATAAAGCAAGAAATATTTGAAAGTGGGTGCTTAAAGCGGGAGAGTCGTCACCTGCGCATGCGTCAGATGGCCATAGCGTCAAGCGTCTACCCTCTGCGTTTTAGCGTGTGTTGTAATCGTCGCTTGGAACTCAATTCCCGCGCGTGCGCTTTAAGTGTCCGACATTTATTGTCTTGCTTCTTCGAAATTGCATTGAATTCTTAGACTATTCCAATCCAATATTTGTAATACCCAAATCAGAGTCGGAATTACTGTATCATAAACTGTTGATGTGGTGGTTAGTGTTGTTGAACCCGGTAAAAGAGCCTGAAGCAGGTGAACTGCATACACAATATGCCACAATATGCTGTGGTTATTTGAAGACTGTAAACGCTTTCTATCATACTAAACTGGTCACTAAATTTCACAACTGCTTTTTCGGTTTAAAATGACATCTAAAGAGCCACGGCAAGCCGAAATATGTCTCGATTGTATACAGCGCCACCAGTGACTGTTCTCGGCACCATGCGTCCAGAAATTCGGTAGAGGGATCCTATGACGTGGGCTGGGTTCGTCATTTTTTGCGGACTGATGGGGGGGGGGGGCACGTCTCTCCTCAATCCGCGCGTGAAACATCTATCACCCATGTGCTACCAACAGTAAGCTGGCGTGCATTTGATAGTACATGCCATCAAATTTACCGATGTGGGAGCGCTGCTATATTCATGATGGCGGCCCCATATAGTAAATATTTTATTTTATTACCACGTGTACGCCAACTGACTGTAGTCACAGTCCCTCTATAGTCTACACAGGGACTGTGCGCTGTACTTTGTGCTACATCTTGTCACCGCATCACTAACCAATAGAATCCTGTACTTGCCCAACTGAGGGCGCTGTTGACATGACCTTTGTTTTGTTGGGAGGCCTTTTGTCAGCGAGAGGGTTTGCCTGGTTCCTAGCTTCACCGTAGTTTAGTGCACGTTTAGCGCTAAATATCCCATTTTACCTCGAAAGATTCGTTTATTGAATTCATCACTGTGTAATCGACAGTTAGTGAGTTACAGTAAGTGTGTTATGTTGATTTATTTTCCCTGTGTCATGATGTTTGCCGGGGGTATTTGGTTGAAATGTTGTCACACTGCTCTCCCAACTGACGCCTGATTTTATGCGCGACTCCATTGCCTTTTCGACTTGTGGGTATGGCGGTGGTTAACTGTTTTTACCTACATGGTACTGCATTATTACTTATCGAAAAACACTGTTTCATGGTTATTACAGACATGGGTTGCCGTGACGTGGTTGTTTTCAAAATTGCAGAAATAGTTGAAAGGTCAAACGGAGAATGGCGATCGAGTATGAAGTTAGCAACAGATTCAGATTTCATCCACTGATTCTAATTTAAAAAAAACAAAAACAGGTCAAATTGCAGTCAAACTAGTAGAATCACAAATCAACACAACACAGTATGATTATTATGATCATACTATTCATAGAACTGTGAATTTAATAATTCACAGAATTAAATTTTTGCTCTTTCCACTGATCAGTGAAAATGACTGAGTTAAATTCATACCGGGCTATGATAATCCATTTACATCAAAGAAAAATAAATAATTACATATAACTCTGAAAGTAATCTACCATGGGGTCACACGTACAGTGGCGGATCCAGCAAAATGTATTGGGAGGGGGGGCTTCGCTTAATATTACGGAGCGTAAATCGCAGTGAAACTATGCGTAATCTAGAAGATATGAATCGTCATGCGTTGGAGGGGAGCATGGCCCCCTGCCCCCCCGGATCCGCCACTGCACACGTACACACACAGGTATTATAAAACAAACTATCTATCAACATTTTCCTTAATGAAAATAACTAAAAGACGCTTAAAAATTGGTAAACTGGTACATTGCTTATTGTCAGGTAGAGTGTTCCACGTGCTTACACCACGCATACTAAACGTTCTGTGCCCACTCCCTGAACAAAATTTGGGTAGAAGCAGATCCTTATGTGCTGCACCACGAGTTTGATATTGATGTACTTGATTCATCTGAGTAAATATGTTGCATAGATACAGTGGAGCAGTACTATTGAGACATTTGAAAACAAGGATAGCAGTGAAATAATAAATACGCTGTCTAACTGAGAGCACATTTATTGAACTAAACAGAGAGTTAGTTGGTGTATCAAAAATAACATTTAAAATTACACGCATTGCTCTTTTTTGTAATGTAAAAACTCTACTTAAATTATGACATGTGGTATTTCTCCATACAACACAGCAATAATCCATAGCTGATTGTATTAATCCAAAGTACAATACTTTACATAACTGAAAAGGGATGTATTTACAAATACAATGCAAAAGACCAATCCTTTTACTTATGATGACACAAAGTTCATCAATATGTGAAGAAGATAATTGTCTAAGAAGACACCCAACATTTTGTGAGAATTAACATTACAAATTTCCCTTCCATCCATAATAATGCTAAGTAATTCATTATTGGTGGCAGTCCTGTTAATAAGCATAGCATAGGTAGCATAGTGGTTGTTGCATCAGACTTATGATAGGTAGAGTAAGTATATATTTTGTGTTATCCTACCGACACCATAACAAACCATGTGAAAATAGAGAGCATTTATGTCTAATACCTTATAATACCATAGCCATTTTTGCACATTGTCCCTTTTGGTTTTACATCTTCCGAACATTATGGAATATTCTTACAACTTCGTGTATGCATAACATCTTCTATTATGATGTCCTTTATGTATTATACTACTTTTATGAAATACACGAAAGGTATTTTTCTAGTCATCACTAAAAAATCACACATGGCTTTTTATGGATTGGGCCATATTGCTGTTGGTATGGATTTATTGTTTATTATGGTATCAGCTATTATGGACGTTATGGCTTTTTATGGTAAAATTAATTACACTTATATGATACTTGATTGTGTAATGGTATATTATGGCTTCAGATTTATAATTTTATGGTAATATATGGTGTCAGAGTTCACTAAACCATGTGTTACTATACCATCATAATTTTATTAAAATTTGATACACAGGAGCAAATCTGTTTAGACTAATGACATATTTTTGCTTCTAGCTGTTTTTGTTTATCATATTCATACTTAGGTTTTCTTTAGCCAAAATAAATTAGTGGTCAAACTGTAGAGATGGTTATTTCTTTTGATAAACAAATTCTTCTAAGATCATATTTAATATTAATATTTTAAAATGAAAGCTGTTTTAGCCCATGAAAAGGTTACTACATGGGCAGTACATGTAAATGCTAAATCTGTTGACAACATTTTGAGTTTCAAAATAAATTCAGAGTTTGACGGAATTTGATTGCCTCATTTAGGGAATTATATTCTGAAGCCATATTTTACCATAACATGTTATTTTATGGACCAAAGATTTCCTTTCCCAAGCCATAAAAACCCATATTGTCTGGCTGAATACTTATTCCTACTGAAACCATATTGTACCATATCTGTAATTATTACTGAAGCCATATAATTCCGCAAGATAAATGCCTTAAGTTCTGCACAATCTGAACGCATAAAATACCATATAATTGATTTTAGACTGGAAACACCCCAAGCCATACAAAACCATATTTTGGGGGGTAAATTTTTGTGCACCCTCCAAAATTCAAATTCTCCAGTAGCATAGTTACCGTAAATGATAAACCATGACTTACTCTTTTAGGCAAGTTCACTTTTATTTCTGGTTTCATGATTTATTGCTGGTAAAGGATTGACCAGCTTTGTTATTAGTCCAAAAAAAAATTTTTCAGCTTGGAATGTGTCTGAACCCCTCATTAGGATACAAGAATGTAGGAATGTACCAAGAAAATTGTTTTTCTGGAGTAAATTGTAGTGTATTTTACTTATGAAAGGTCAAAAAGTGCATGGAGATTTTATGAAAATGTCTGGATGTTAACAGAATAATGTCGTTTGGTCACAGTTACGTAATAAATGATGGACTATTTTTGGCGTAGCTATAAAATGTGTCACCGAAGTACTCACACGTGTGCATGATTCCAATAGTTTGTGCTGTGAAGAAACTCCATTAGAAAATAAGTATTGTGTAATTTGTGGTGAGAACAGATTTATGTTTATGAATCTTGTGTCTTTTCAAAGTGTATTTATATAATAAAAATTGTTTATGAAAATGTTTTTTTATATTTTTTCGATGGATTGAATTTACAAATGATGAGTTATTTTGTTATACCATCACTCGAATTATGTGTTACAAATTTCTGATAGTTTAGACTTTGTGTTCTTGTGAAATGCAGGTTATGTTAGGAAAAATTACTTCCACTCAAATGTCACTCTCAGATCATTCAAATTGCAATCTTGTTTTCTTTGTATACATCTAACTTATTATTGTTAATTGTCTTCTAAAATATGGACTAAAAAAACCCTCTCCTAAATCAAGAATGCACTACAATAGTGGCCCACTGCTCAGATATTGTATTGTGCCTTTTGACCTCCATTCTGTCTACCGGTATATAATATTTGTCTTAATAATTCACTTACAGTTGTATAAGAATATACAGGCAACAGTGATACAGAAAACCTGCATATTTTTCTGTTATTAGGAGATCAAAAACCATTTTCTTTTTTTCAACAATTGATGACTATTAAATTTACAACATTATAGCACTGTATGTCAAATGTATAAGTTTTTTTTTAAAGGGAAGAGATTCAAGGGGAAAGAAGTAAAAGTCACTCACTGTTACATAACACCAGCAATAAGCTGACTTAGCATTATTATATGCAGGCTTTTTGTTTTTATTTTTACACCCTGAATTTTAATAGCCACACAATCATACAAATTATTGTAAAACTCTTTATTTTCGCTTGGAATTAATCTTCGCTATTTTCGATGAAGGAATGATTCAGTGTAAATCAAATCTAGCGAATATACCTTTTTTCCCCAAATTTTACACTCAACAAATTAACAAAATAGTCTTATTTTTTTTAAATTTTTGTTAATTTTTTTGTGCCAGGCGACAGTGTCGGACATTGAATGTTACTGTTGACTCTCCTGACTCGCCGAGGGTGATCTTTCTGATAAATATGGTAAAATATTTTGAAATACAAAAAAATATTATAACACTGCAGTGTTGGAAATATATTGTATGATTTTAAGCAATGCTCATTTCAAAGTTGGTAGTTTTTGACACAATCGAATTAGTTTGATTTGCGCAATATTTTATAAAAATATAGGTACATGATGAGATTTGTTCACAGAGTTAAAACACATGATTGTCAAAATAAAATAAATTAAATTATGACACTAAGATAAAAACTGTAGTCTTTTGAAATGCAAATAAATACTATAATTTGCAGTCTTGGAAATCAAGATTTTACGCAATGCTCGGTTCAAAGTGGGTAATTGACAAAATTTCTAATCCACAATCAAGAAATGCAATGAGTTTATATTTACAAAGAGAAAATACAAAAATATATTTGCATTGTACAGTAGAACCAAAAAATGTGATGGTTTGTCAGAATAAATTAAACCATAACATTTTTTTTTTTATTTTTGGCATCAGTACCTGTTTTGATGGACAGTATGATACATGTGCAATAACCCATGACATGTTGTTGTAAAACTAGCAATTGGCAAAATATTAATGTTCTCGAATGCGAATTGGCTAATTGCTTGGGTTTTGCCTGAACAGTTGCCTGTACAAAACTTTATACTTTCTGTTATTGCAAAAATGTCAAAATTGCATGTGTCATTTCTCTTCTAGGTGTTACATACAGATGCAGATGACATGCTGTGACAAGATGACAGATCAAGAAATGTGTCAGGAAAATTTGTTGGAAACTGCCGCTTTGACAAATAATATCCAGATTCATACAGAAAGCAAACCTTTTCGCTGTGAACTATGTGCAAAGAGTTTTGCACACAATATTTATTTGACAGTTCATATGAGAACACACACTGGTGATCGACCCTTTCAATGTTTGCAATGTGGGAAGTGCTTTAGCCAGCAAACGACTCTAACAAGACATATATTGACACACACTGGAGAGAAACCTTTTAAATGTGAACAGTGTGAGAAGAGTTTCAGCCAACAGGGAACTCTGACAAGGCATATGTTGACACATTCAGAAGAGAAGCCATATCAATGTCTACAGTGTAATGGACGTTTTCGTGACCTGAATAGTTTGAAAAAGCACATGAAAGTTCATAACAAACCATTCCATTGTGAACAATGTGGACAGAGCTTTACCAAAAATATTGATTTGGGAATTCACATGAGAATACATGCTGGTGAGAAACCATATCAATGTGAACTATGTGGGCAGAGTTTTGCACACAAGATTTATTTGACAGGTCATTTGAGAATACACACCGGTGAGCGACCATTTGAGTGTAAGCACTGTGGGAAATGCTTTAGCCAGCAGACAACTCTTACACGACATACGATGACACACACAGGGGAGAAGCCATTCAAATGTGATCAGTGTGGGAAGAGTTTCAGTCAACAGGGAACTCTGACGAGGCATTCATTGATTCATTCGGAAGAAAAGCCATTTCAATGTCAGCAGTGTAATGGATGTTTCCGAGACCCAAATAGTTTAAAAAAGCACATGAAAGTTCATAACAAACCATTCCATTGTGAACAATGTGGACAGAGCTTCACCAAAAATACTGATTTGGGAATTCACATGAGAATACATGCTGGTGAGAAACCATTTCAGTGTGAACTGTGTGGGCAAAGTTTTGCACAAAAGATTTATTTGACAGTTCATTTGAGAACACATACTGGTGAGCGACCATTCGAGTGTAAGCATTGTGGGAAATGCTTTAGCCAACCAACAACGCTGACTAAACATACATTGACGCATACTGGAGAGAAGCCATACAAATGTAAAGAGTGTGAGAAAGGCTTCACTCAGCAGGGAACTCTGACGAGGCACATGTTGGTACATACAGGAGAAAAGCCGTTTATATGTCTACAGTGTAATGGACGTTTCCGTGACCTGAACAGTTTGAAAAAGCACATGAAAGTTCATAACAAACCATTTCATTGTGAACAATGTGGACAGAGCTTCACCAAAAATACTGATTTGGGAATTCACATGAGAATACATGCTGGTGAGAAACCATATCAATGTGAACTATGTGGGCAGAGTTTTGCACATAAGATTTATTTGACAGGTCATTTGAGAATACACACCGGTGAGCGACCATATAAATGTAAAGACTGTGGGAAGTGTTTTAGCCAGCAGACAACGCTTACTAAACATACATTGACACATACTGGTGAAAAGCCTTTCAAATGTGAACAGTGCGAGAAAAGCTTCACTCAGCAGGGAACTCTGACGAGACATTTATTGATACACACAGGAGAAAAGCCATTTGCATGTGAGCAGTGTAATGGACGTTTCCGTGAGCAGAGTAGTTTAAGAAAGCACATGAAAATACATGACAAACCTTTTCATTGTCAACAGTGTGGACGCAGCTTCGCCGATGATAATCTATTGAGAAGTCACATGAGAATTCATGCTGGGGAAAAACCATTTAAATGTGAACTATGTGCAAAGTATTTCACTCAAAACCTACATTTGCGTGTTCATATGAGAACCCATACTGGCGAGAAGCCATTTCGATGCAACCTATGTGGAAAGGGATTTAGCCAACAGGGTACGATGACTAGGCATAAATTGACACACACAGGTCAGAAGCCATACCAGTGTAAACATTGTGGCCAGCGTTTCAGAGAAAAGATTAGTATGAGACGTCACACAAGAACACATGAAACAAAACTGTTTCATTGCAAGAAATGTGGGCTTAGTCTGGCCCAGAAGAGTGACTTAAGAATTCACATGAGGACGCATGCAGATGAAAGGCATTTTCAGTGTGAACTTTGTGCCAAGATGTTTGCACAAAGAACTTATTTGCGAATTCATATGAGGACCCATACAGGGGAGAAGCCATATCAATGTAAACAGTGTGGGAGGCGCTTTAGTCAACATGGGACTATGACGAGGCATGCTTTGACACACACAGATCAACTTCAATATCGAGAATGTGAGAGACCAGATACTGAATTGTCGAGTATAAGAAACCAAGAGTGTATGGCAAGCCAACAACAACAAGACTTGGAGAGTTCCATAAAGTCGCTTGCTATTAAACATGCAATTCATTGTAAAGAATGTGATAAACTCTTTGCCAGCAATATTGCATTGAGAATTCATATGAGGACTCACACCGGTGAGAAGCCATACAAGTGTAATCTATGTGGAAAGAGTTTCAGCCAGCATGGGACTATGACAAGGCATGTATTGACACACTCGGCTCATAAACCATTGAAGTGCGAACAATGTGGTCGACGTTTTCGTGAAAAAAATAGCCTGAGAAGACACTTGAGAATACATGATGAGAAACAGTATCAGTGTGGTGAATGTGATCAGAAGTTTGTTCAAAAGAATGATTTGAGGATCCATATGAAGACGCATACAGGTGAAAAGCCTTTTCAGTGTGAATTATGTGCAAAGAGATTTGCACAACTGGTCTATTTAAAAATCCATTTGAGGACCCATACCGGTGAAAAACCATTTCAATGTACACACTGTGATAAGCGCTTCAGTCAACATGGAACAATGACTAGGCATACTTTGATACATGCGAGCCAAAAACCTTTTCAGTGCAATCAATGTGATCGACAATTTTCTGAAATGTATAGTATGGAGAAACATATGAGAACACATAATAAGAAACTCTTCTGCTGTGAACACTGTGGTTGTAACTTCACATTATACAAAGATTTGAGAATTCACATGAAGATTCATAAGGGGGAAAAGCTCTTTAATTGTGAACTATGTGAAAAAGGTTTTACCCGGAAAAATTATTTAAAAGTTCACATGAGAACGCATAGTGGGGAGAAGCCATTTAAATGTCAAATATGTGGGAAAAGATTCAGTCAGCATGGTACAATGTCACGGCATACATTATTACACAAAGGAAGGCAATCATTTCAGTATACATGTATACTACGTGGAAAACATACACAAGTTGATCATAAGGATCAAGGAGTTCTCTATCCCATACAATGTGTTCCTGCCTCTACATTTACAAATGTTAATTATGAGTATGAACTAGGAATTAACGGCTACACTCATGAGTTAAATGCTCATCCTGAACAAATGGTTATAGTATACGATGCAGATACACGTCTGTTAAACACTGTACATGGTAACGATTTATCACGAGTGTCACCATCTAGTCAATATGATGTATCCAATTATATCAATGTATGTAATGGAGCTGTGGTTACAAAACTTGAAGAGTGTTTGACAGAGATAGAAGGAATAGAAACTTATCATGCCATGTGGTGGCACTGAGTAAAACCTGGCTACATACATATGTGCGTATATACATACAGAATAAAGTAAAATAGTATCGCGCCTTGGCGTCTTTATTGTCAACTGTATTGGATTATTAGGCAGTGTAAATTCACTAAATTGTCGCTTTGTTATCAATTGTATCTTAAAATTGAGTAGATAATGTAGAAGGCTCTGGGTTTAACTCTTGCCACCAATAATATTTTCGCAAATGTTCTTAAGAGAAATATGACTCTCAAATCGAATTAAACAATGCTTTTTTCATTGTAATTTAATAATACAATTGGTGACCAGCTTTTGCAGAAATACATCTGTATGTTCAGCTATGTTGTTCCCATTAAAATTAAGCATTGTAAGTGGATGGATATACTTGTGTATGAATCGCACTTGTGTAGTGGCTGTAATAGAATAAAGGTTTTTGTGATTTCACACATCTTTTTTCTGTCCTATTTTTTAACGTGCGTGCGTGCATGCATGCATGCATGCATGCATACATGCATGCGTGCGTGTGTTCGAACCTGTATATTAGATGTGCCTGGACCAATCACAATCAAACATCACACATACATTGTACATATGCACATCAATTTTTTGTTTCACCTTCTGATTCAAGATGGCCAATGGCGGCCATTTTTGTTTTGAAAAATCATCAAAATTAAGCATTTCAAACTTGGTATATACATTGGACATTATAGGACCTTGATGCGCATCATTTTGTTTTTCAGATAGGATTCAAAATCGCTGACTGGCGGCTATTTTGTTTTAATGAATGGGCTTCTAGTGCCATATCTCTGACTTGCTTTGACTGATTATGTTCAAATTTTAAATATTCATTATACATCATGTTATAGATAGACAGATATATTGGTTTGACGATCCTATTCAAAATGGCCGAATGGTGGTCATTTTTGTGTTAACAATCATCAAATATCATTTCTGGCCTTTATGTTCAAACTTGGTACATACGTTAGACATTAGGGATTCCTGATGCATGCCATTTTAATTTTTTCAGATTGGATTCAAAATGGCTGACTGGCAGCCATTTTGTTTTAATGAATGAGCTTCTAGAGCCATATCTCTGACATGCTTGAATGATTATGTTCAAATTATATATATTCATTATACATCATGTTATAGATATACATATATACATGAATTCAAAATGGCTGATTTTGTTTTAATTAAAGGCTGTTCTAGAGCAATATCTCTCAATATGGACAAGTACTCATTTGACAATCAGATACAAATGTCAATCATTTTAACGTTAAACAATCATCATAATCAGATTCCTGACATGGTTATATTCCAGCTATATTATTATAAACAAAACTATATATCTTAATTTTGATAACTAATGGGGACTGCGCCATGCATGGCTTGTTCTTTGAAGTATTTGCTATAATACATACAACATATCAATGTGTTAGAGAAGGGCACAAAGAAACAGTTCGCCACTTATACAAGGAAGTAGATGTATTTTTGTGGTGAAGATAAGAAAGACTCGTTTTATGCAACCATAAAATTAGTGTTTGGTTTTATGACTGAACCTTTTGAGTTCGACCTGGAACTCCACTGCTCTGAACACAGCCAGGTGTTAGTAATTTAAAAATTATTTTTATTTATTCAAGACAAAACTATTTGCCAACAGAAAGGTCAAGTGAAAGATGGACGGTATACCAGTTTTTTTCAGTGGTGTTTCTTAGATTAAAAAAATTAAGTGATGATACTATGACCCTTTCTGGTGTTTTAACATAAGTACACATTTCTTGATTTGTCAATACAAGAATATAATCTACAATCATCACTTTGACCAGAAGATAAATATAGCAACCCACCTGATGCAGTCACATGCTACTGTAAAATGACTAATTTCACTGGGTTTAAATTTCACTGATTTCAGGCATATTCAGTGGGTGTTAAATTTACGGTTTTATCATTTAGATAATGTGCTAAAATTTACTTATTCACTGGGTTTTAATTAAGCGCATACTCCAGTCAGCAAAATTAAAAACCAACATTAAAACCCAGTGAATAATTTACCCCTTTACAGTATGTGCCTGAGTAGTGCATATGCCATTTGAGCTGTATTTGCCAATAAACCATTTTATGAGAGTTACGCTCAGAATAATTGTTTAAATTGCTATATATTCATGAAAAGTACGACCAACCATTTTTTTATGTTCAAGTTACAGACATAAATAAGCGATATTTTTTTTGATGTGTGATAACATGTTATACATACGATGTTTATTTGAAAACAGTATTGTTTTTGAGTTGACGTGTCATAAACAGTGAATCTATTTTAGACAGTTGGATGCTTCTACGGAAAGCCGAATTCTAACATAATATTTGCGATGATAAACGCGTTGGTATCGATCATGCACAATCCACCAATTCACTACGTTGTGTAGTGAAGAATTGTTGGAGTGACCATAATACGTAATTACGACCACACACATAACACATTTTGTCATTTATTTTATTATCTGCTGAAAAGCCACAAATAAACAGTGAGATAAACAATATCCCGGATTTTATGCCCAACACATACTCCAGATAATAAATAATAAGTACTTAGTTTATAAATCTACTATCTGTATGATTATACTACCAGCGTCAATAAGCATAAGCAATATTCGAAATCTTCGCCAATGTTTGAAGTCAGTTGTGTTTGTCTTCACTAATTACAGCTGAAAAGAGAAAATATGAAATTAAATTGAATGTTAAAATATGATATTTGCTACCCAGACACATATTTGGGATTGTGTAGCTTTATACATTATATGTATCACGGAAAAGTAACAACTTGGGTATCACGTGGGGATACCACGCGCTCATTCACAAATAACCGGGGAATCCATTCCACCTGCACTTACAGACTAACACAATATTTTATTTCGTTTATTATGCATCTATTTGTGATTGTTTGCATTGGTAAATTCGTTAAATATTGTCTTTCAAACTTAAATTTCAAAAGCCAGCAAAGCATGGTCCATATTTCCTATCACGTTGAAGTAATACTGTATTACCACCTACAGTGTGCCTAGATGCCTTCAAAATAGGATATTGGTGGATGAACGAGTTTGAAAACTACCTAAAAACGCATGCGCAGGTGGCCATAGCGTCATTGTTTACAAACAGGCATCTACCTATGAGACTTTGCGTTATCGTGTGTTGTTATCGTCACTTGGAACTCAATTCCCGCGCGTGCGCAGGTGACGACCCTCCCGCCTTAACATACTGCAGTCGACACTTTGTTAAAAAAAAATACATTTTCTTACCTTCCTGGTATCTCCCAGCTGTTACCAAAATCCTCAAACTTGGTAGTAAATTTCCCATCTGACTTCTTCAAATCATTACTGCTAAACCCATCAGCGTCGCCAAGCATACCGTACACATTACCATACATCCGGGTATCATCGAGTCGGATCTTTATTTTGTGCTGTCGTCCGTTCCATGTCAGCATAAGCTTTGGTTTTGTCATTTTAACATAAACGTTTGTTTTATCAACATCAACATTTCCGTCTCCATTTCCGATAACAGCTGACGTGTTCTTGAAGCGCTTACCATTGATCTGTAGGGATAGTGATCAATAATGTATTATAGAAACTTGTTCAAAATCAAGATTATCAATATTAAAAAGTATCAAAATCAATATTAAGACGTATCTATTCTTGTTAGCATATTTATTTTGTTTTTTCATATACATATTTGATTTCAAAAACTCTATACAATAATGATATCAAGATTATTAAAACGCTAAAAATACAACGAAATAGTGCTTGTGTGTTCAACGTTTTTAAATTTACAATAGACACTCTACCTGGAATGA